TGCGTTGGCAGCTTTGACTGCGGCAGATATTCCTCCAGTAGCTGCACCAGCTGCAGTTAAACCAGCAAAGATTAAAGGTAAGAAAGGTAAAAATCCACCTTTTTTAGTTAAATTCTCATCAATTCTTTCTAAGTCTATATCGTCTCTGACTTTACAATGTTTGTATTTATCGATAATCTTTTGGGTTATATGCACTTTTTTACCGTTGTAAGTTATTAGAGTCGGCGAATTCGTTTCCATAGCTTCTATTATTTTCATAATTAAAGTTTCTGGTTTCTTTTTTAAAGGGTGTTTTTTTATTCAATTCTTATCATTCTTCTATCTGATATTTTAATCAAATGTTTTGCTTCTTCCAGCAATAAACAGTAGCCGGTCACATCTCCTTGTGTTTTATCGATGTGAATATTTATGTTCACCCCTGTTTTGAAAAGATCTTCTTGATGAGCTGACAGATCGAAACAAAAGATTGGATGATTGAGTGAAAAATCTGTGTATTCAAACTGAGGCGTATTTCCAAACAATTCGCACATGTTTTTATAGTTTCTGTACAATTCGTTGTAATCTTTTTTGGAAGGATCAATTGTCAAAGGTTGATTGGGATAATTATCGTTGTTCAATCTGACTTGAACTTTGCGAATGATGGGATCTTGAGTATGGTTCAATGCCACTCTGAAAATGTTGTTGTTGTTTGTCTGAGAGTCTGGCAAGTTTTTGAAACCTACCATTAGATACCTCGCTGGTTTGACGGTGTTGGTAATTGGCCACGTGGTGGATTCTCCCGTTAAAGTCATGCTACCTACCGTGTTAGACGAAGAAAAGCAATTTCGATGTCTTTGGTTAAAGAGTTGAATATTCTCGTTTCCACTTCTACGGAAGGAGTGATTACCGGTATGTAAAGTTGAATATTTGTCATTTCCAATTTTGTGTCAGAGTTGTTTTCACCAAAGAATATCTTGTTGTCGTTAATTTCTCTTTGCAAATGAATTTTATACGGTAAACCTATGGAAACCTTTCTGTGTTCCAAGAGACCAAATAAAGGATACAACTTCCAATTTACATAATTACCCCATCTGTTGTTCTCGACGACATTGTTGTATTGAAGCGCTCGTTTTTCAAATCCGTGATTTACTCCGCGAGTCACTCTTTCCAGTGTGTTTCTAGCGACTACCCTTATCCTAGCAAGGTCTGCGTCATTTGCTACAGTTCTGACCGGTTCTTTTAAAACTTCTCCGTCACCGACATCGGGAATCCATCCCGAAACTGAATCGTAGTTTTTGGGATAGCGAACCGTTTTCAACATTGTGTCAAACTCGCCGGGGTGTTTTATGGTCTCTATCGGATTTGAACCAGCTTCCAAAACCATTTCGCTGAATAAAGACTTAAAGAAGTTGTTTTCTAAAGTCGTGTTGGTT